AACTGTCTACAGATCAATGCTGGCTCTATGGCTTGGAAATAGGGATCAGCACCACCCCACGGAGTCGGATACCACTGGACTAAATGTCAAGGGGAACGTTTACCTTTATGATACATATTTATTTTGCTCATTTATGAGTCATCCTATAGATGAAACTCTCAGGGTAACATGTAATTGTGGTCACGATTTTTTCTCAAGGTGCACCCTTAGGTGTACATCTCAGACAAAAAAGGTGATTAACCATGTTTGCTATTATAACAAATCAGAAGCATAATAATAGGATAATACTTTTATTATGAATAGCCCAAATCACAAACTAGGAAATCAGTTTTTGAGTTATACTGAACATTTTTTTGAGCTAAGTTAATTACCATATACTGTATGTGTTTTATGTGTCATCAAGTTGGAACCAACTCATTCCCTATAGGGGTTTCAAGGCAGGTGAGATACTTAGGGGGGGAGTCTTACCATTGCCAGACACTTCCCCATAAGAACTATGCCTGAGCAGGGATTGGAACCTAGGTCTCCTGTCCATCACTTTGTCCACTATACCACACAAGATGCTGTATTTCTGAGTTATGGTGACCCTTTTCAAAGTTTCCTAGGTGCAGAGTGAAGTGGTTTACTCTTTCCTTTACTGGGACCATTCTGGGATTGTGCAGCTTGCCCAAAGCCACACAGGCTGATTCTTTCCTTGGGAAGCAGCAGTCAAATTCCCAGCCTCTGATTCCTAGCCAGAATTATCAGAAGGAAGGCTTTATTGGACTCCCATCCTGCAGTTTATAATAAATAAGGTATGTTGTCTCTCTGTCCTCCACTGCCTTTTCTTATAATTGAGGCTTCCATAGACTCCTCCCGTGGTCTCCCCAGTCTGGAATCATGCACCCTTCCCCAAATCCCTCTGCCAAATCTCTTACGGCATTCCTCAAAGTCCCAAAGACTTGTGTTCTAGGCATCCTGCACTTCCATAAACGTCTGGAAACTGCACAGGTCTGGTGTTCGTAGCACTTTGACGCTTGTACTTGTAAGGGCCCAACACACAGGATCCTGGGAGACTATGTCAACTTCTATCTTTATTTATTTGTAAAGCCTGGAGCCAATTCCATCAGCTTAGCCATGCTTCTGAGGGAGAGGTGGAGAGGGTGGAACGCAGGCCTGCTGAGCTTCACCATGTATAACATAAATTTTATTGTACTGAGCAGTGTGACACAAGAGGGTAAATAAAGTACATAACCAGGCAGAGTTCATCTTCCTTACAACTCCTCCAGAAGCACTGCTAAAGAAACGGAATGGGCCCCAGGCTAAAAACATCAAGAAGCTTCTGCGGTCCTTACCGTTAGCTCTGTCACAATGCTGACACAAATGAATACATCAGTGGAAGAGCCTTTTCACCAGGATAGGAAACAAAGCACTTGAGCACGGCAGCGCTCCTGGCCTTGGTCTCTCCGGCCCTCGGCCATAACAAACAAGAAAGGATTGAACGGGTTAGGCAAACATGGGAAGTTGCTTTCACAAGGGGGAGGGGACTTGCAAAAGAACGGGATCCAAAAGATAACAAGTTCAGGCTTGTTCATTGTTCATAGTTCTAAATATTGTCTTTTAATGATGTTAACCACAGTTGTACACTCATTGTTTTCACCTTTAAATATTGTCTACTCCACGGGTGCTTGCAATTCTAAATGAGCACTTGTTGTGCGCCGCCTTGGGTCCTTTGCAAGGAGAAAGGTGGGGTAAAAATATGATAGATAGATAGATAGATAGATAGATAGATAGATAGATAGATAGATAGATAGATAGATAGATAGATAGATAGGTTAGTTAGTTAGTTAGTTAGTTAGTTAGTTAGTTAGTTAGTTAGTTAGTTAGTTAGTTAGTTAGTTAGTTAGTTAGTTAGTTAGTTAGTTAGTTAGTTAGTTAGTTAGTTAGTTAGTTAGTTAGTTAGTTAGTTAGTTAGTTAGTTAGTTAGTTAGTTAGTTAGTTAGTTAGTTAGTTAGTTAGTTAGTTAGTTAGTTAGTTAGTTAGTTAGTTAGTTAGTTAGTTAGTTAGTTAGTTAGTTAGTTAGTTAGTTAGTTAGTTAGTTAGTTAGTTAGTTAGTTAGTTAGTTAGTTAGTTAGTTAGTTAGTTAGTTAGTTAGTTAGTTAGTTAGTTAGTTAGTTAGTTAGTTAGTTAGTTAGTTAGTTAGTTAGTTAGTTAGTTAGTTAGTTAGTTAGTTAGTTAGTTAGTTAGTTAGTTAGTTAGTTAGTTAGTTAGTTAGTTAGTTAGTTAGTTAGTTAGTTAGTTAGTTAGTTAGTTTAATATACCACCCAATTAGTGCCAAAGCACTTTTCTGGGTAGTTTAGAGACATTTAAAAGCCAAAACAAACAAACAACGGACACTAAAATATAATGCAGAACATAAGCAAATAAAAGCCAATAGTACCAACAATTTTTCACAAGCAAGCAGACTAGATGGGAGGCACTTGCTCAAGGAATTGCCTGCTCCTCCTTGAAACTCCACTGGTGCATTAGCAGCCTTCACAAACCAGTGCTTGGCCTGTCCTCCTTTCTCTCAGGGTGTGTGCTTTTCCCGCCCGACATGCACACACACACGCACACAGATAGGAAACCAAAGACAGGCACAAATTGGTGCAGGAAGGTAGGTGTGTGCTCTTGAGAAATAAAGCCCCCCAGCTGCCAGAGACCCACATTCAGCACTGATACAACTGCTCTGCAGTCTCTCCCCCTTTGGAAAGTGTAGCCTGTTCCAAGAGCATAGGCCAAAGGGGACGTGGCAGCCCCAAACGCTCTGGGGTCCCAAGCCGTCTAGTGACCACTTTCCCTCTGCCTGAAGTCACTTTCTTTAGAAAGACACTCTGCACAGAATGCCCCCAAGACTCCCTCTGCAACATGGAAAGCCTGCGAAAATACTAGCAACAAATCCAGCTTCAGAATGAAACTAAATACAGTATTCATAATTTTGTTAGCTGCTGCTATCAGAGGCAACAATGGGTCAGGAAACCCTTTTTCGAACTGCAGCTCAGAATACCACCAAATGAAGGAAATTAAGGAAAAGACATCCTATTTTATTTATTTATTTATTTATTTATTTATTTATTTATTTATTTATTTATTTATTTATTTATTGTATTGCATTTATATGCCGCCCATCTAGATATGGTCTACTCTGGACGGCTCACAACATACAAGATAAAACAATTTAAAATATACAGTTTTACATAAATAAAAACAGAGCGATACAAAATATAAATAATAGGTTTACGATCCTAGAAACTAGAAAAAGTATATCCAAAATATTACAACATTTTGACAAAAATTTATGATATGCCTTCACAAAAAAATGGTCTAAAAAGACTTGTCAATTTTCAGCACTTGCTGCACAGGGGCAATTTTTACTAGTTTCTTTTGAAATTGGGCACCTTTGTAGCAGTTTAAAAGAAGACAATGGATGCCAAGGGTTCATTCTATTAAGTCAGCATTTATTTATTTACCCCATCCATCTAGTGGGGACACTAGGTGCCAACAGCTGTTATTTTTAGAGACACTAGAATTGGGAGACTAATAAAGGCAGGAAGCTCTTATTTGCACTGGCCTATGGCAAGGCTGACAGATTTTACTTTCTTGGGCTCCATGATCACTGCACAGGGTGACAGCAGCCATGAAATTAAAAGACGTGTGCTTCTTGGGAGGAGAGTGCTGACAAACCTAGACAACATTTTAAAAAGCAGAGACATCACCTAGCTGACAAAGGTCCGCATAGTCAAAGCTGGTTTTTCCAGTAGCAATGTATGGAAAGGAGAGCTGGACCATAAAGAAGGCTGACCGCCAAAGAATTGATGCTTTTGAATTGTGGTGCTGGAAGAGGCTCTTGAGAGTCCCCTGGACTGCAAGGAGAACAAACCTATCCATTTTGAAGGAAATCAGCCCTGAGAGCTCACTGGAAGGACAGATCCTGAAGCTGAGGCTTCAGTACTGTCCTTTGGCCATCTGATGAGAAGAGAAGACTCCCTGGAAAAGACCCGGATGTTGGGAACGTGTGAAGGCAAGAGGAGAAGGGGATGACAGAGGATGAGATGGATGGACAGTGTCATCGAAGCAACCAACATGAATTTGACCCAACTCCGGGAGGCAGTGGAGGACAGGAGGGCCTGGCGTGCTTTGGTCCATGGGATCACGAAGCGTCGGACACAGCTTAACGACTAAACAACAAATGGCAAGGCTGACTTCTGCACCCCTTTCCTCTTCCCATAAGTAGCCAAAGCAGTGGGAAGCTCACTCAGGACCAGGAGTACAACAGCACACACCTGGCTGCCCTCGACCTGCACCGCCCAGCACACAAGCTTCACCCCACTCCATACGATTAAATGTCTTTTTAAAGGAAGAAAAGGTACGGTCGCCTTAGCTGACGGCGGCCGCCCCGTCTCTGCCTCGCCCTCTCGGCGTGGTTAGGAAGCGAGCGGACCTGCGCGGACCTCCCGTCCCTGCTGCACCGCTGGCGGCCCCCCCGGGGAAGGGGGGAACAGAAGAGGGGACTCTGCTCAGGAGCCTCCCACCTCGGCCCGGGCTCGAGTCCGGCCCCGGTTCTCCTCCCGCCTCCTTCGTGTCCCCCCCCACC